CTTCATCACTATATGAATTGGCACGTACAAGACTTGTGGTCCTAGAATGAAATATTTTTACAAAGCTCTTAGTTTAGTTTACTTATAACTTTGTAGCAAATTGTTCATGATCTATAATCCTGTAAATGCCTTTCTACTTTAATTACAACTATTCCAAATATGAAATACGATTCATTCTTACGCCTCCAGAAAAACAGTGGCTTCATATTGTTGTATACTGGCCATTTACTGCTATCTTTCCTTCACAATTATTTATCATACTTTAATAAATCTTGATCTCTATTAGCCTAAGAGTGGATGAAGAGTTGATTAATTTCGTACTGCATCCTTATATCTTTTTTAACATACAAAGTAATTTATTAACGAAAAATCCTATTTAAGAAGTTGTTCTTCTAAGTGACCTTTTCTTTCATTTTGTTTTTCAATAAATGCTTCTTCTTATTAATATGACTATTTTTCATTTTTTGCAATCTAGCTATACCTTTGGATGACACATCTAAATTAATATGGACCAATATAAATGCATGCTACCTAGTCGGATTTTTCCCTCTTTTTCATCTCAGCATCACATTATTACATCCATTGCTCTCATCATTATTCTGAATCCTATACTCATTCACTTCTTTCCTCACAGAGGATCGCGCTAACCTTGCAGAATTGGCTAGTGCACCGACTTGGCGCGTTCGTCTCGATCCCTGTCAATATCAAGCAGACCTAGAGCGCTCTCGACACTGGCAATCGGAAGCAAAAAGGGCCCGCCAGCTGGCTGACAGGGCCCGCCGAGAAGGTCGTCCACCAGAAGAGGTAGCTGATTGGCAGGGCAAGGCTGCTGCTGCTGATGCTCGAGCTAAGGGTCCAGAGGCTGAAGATGTCTATGATACTTTCAATGTGCTGGTTCGCCGTAAGCCGAAGGAAAACAACTTTAAATCTGTGCTTGATACAATTAGGTGAGCACTTTGTTATAGAGCCTGCATCTCTGATGCCACAATGAGATTTATTTGATTTAGTGATCTTCGTTCACTTATTTAGCAAGATCCTTGTCACTTTGTATTTGTTTTCCTACTTAACAGCGTTAATATTCCATATAAATGCAGATGTATTAACTCAGCAAAATCAAGACTTCCTTTTTATACTAACTGTTGGAGTACCTCTCATCTCGTTTGAAAAGACGAATGCTGTCATCATCGGAAGCTATAGGAGGAACTCTGATTGTAGATTTGTGCCAATGAATCCTCGACTTACCGACCTGGGACCCCAATAAATCCTTGTTGGGCTTTCGTCCGTCATGCGATGGACATTGTCTGTGCATGACACCATGCTTCACGTTAATTCACCAATCACAAGGCTTTTCTCGTCGTTCATGGTTAATTATCGTAAAGCATGATGTCCTGCACAGACTATGTCCGTCGCATGACGGACGAAGTCTGAATAAGGATTCATCGGGGTCGCAAATCGATATTCCGAGAAGCCATCCGCACAAATCTACAATAACGCCATCAAGTCGATCCCCTTACACCTTCTGGTGAGGCTAACTTACGAATCCCTCCCACTCGCCTCTTCAAACGAAATGAAAGGTATTCCAAACTAAATTTTTAAAGGATTCTTCGGAAATGAATTTTTCTACATATACTAATTTATGCTTTTTGATCCTTCTAAATGCTAACTTTATAGATTGAAAGTATCTGTTACATTCACAGACTTCAAACCTAAGTGTACAATTTTTTATTTATCATCTTCAATTTTTTGCCTTTTTTATTATTAGGATATTATTACTCACAATGTATTTTTTTAAATCTAGAATCTAATTTTGGTCTTTGAAATGGGGAAGTCTCAAATAAAAATTGTCGTGTTTCAGCTTCTAACAAAATTTTAAGGTTACTCTTCGAATTAATATTAGCGATAGAAGTGGTTTCACCTCGTTGTCGCAACATGGTCTTGTGCTCAGGGAGACTATTTAGAACGCAACGAGTCCGAAGTCGTCTGCCATAGTAGTTGTCTTGGTTCCCAGTATTTGACAGTGGTCTTAATACATTCTCAAACGTTTCGCGGGCATCGTAGTCGGCATCATCAGTGAGCTTTGCCATTCTACGCACCAAGATACGAACTCGTCAAAGAGAC